TTGAGGCATGTTACTCAGATGCCAACTCCGTCAACAGGCATCTAGACCTCCCGCGGCCTACAAAGTCTTACGCCATTATGTAAGCAAAGGACGAAGCAGGGCCAAAGCTAACGTCAGAATTGCAAACGAAGAGGACCCCACGACGAACCGGCCAGAAGAGGAGGCAGGATCACCGGGACCCTCTAACGTAGGGATAAGGCATTACAATTATTACAGTTTATGACCCCCCAAAAACCGCTGACTTCACCGTCAGTTAATTAGCGTATATCAATATAGTTTCCTCCCCACCTCCATCCTTTTTTGGTTGCTGCTTCTTAGCCCTTGACGCTCTGATGACTGCTGACAGTTGATTGGCCTATGGCCACTAAAACTACCCTCCTTTTGGTTACTGCTACTTTTCTCTGATGATAGACTCCTGTAGGAGTTCGAAAGCTCAGAACCATAGATCAGTTGATCCGATGCTAGATCCGTCTTATACCTTATCCATGCAGATATCTGAAATCCGAAATTTTTCATTCATTCATTCATTCGCGTTCCAACATGCTTACTTTAAAAAAGCAAGCAGAGAACCTAGTACCCTCCTAGCGTTCCTCGGAGTAAAACAATGCTGATGCCTACCCTTTCCCTCAGTCGTGCTTGCGCATTTAAACTGCCATAAATAACCAATTTCATGGTGTGCGCGGATCCACCTGGAGCACTTAACAGCACTCAAAAATGTGATCGCAACCAGAAATAATATCGAACCCGTGGTAGTGATCGTGACTTGCATGGAACTCAAACAACCCTTCGATTCTCCATATTTGTATGAAAGAGGGCCATATAGGATTTATATAGCTGACGGAAACTAATGGATCTAAATTGTGTACGTATGCCATCTTCCGTCTTATGGCCTTAAAAATGAGTCAACTTTGTCGAGAATGGACGGGAGGGTATATCAGATCGTCGAGCAATGTTAGGGATGATGTGGTAGTTTTCGAATAGGCTTTTTTCATGGCGGAATCAGTCGCCTCCAAAACAACCTCATGTTAACACCATATCTTTGAGACTGAATATCCATGAAACCCGTAGAATACTTAATCATAAGTTTTGTGTGAATAATTGAAAGTTTCAGAATATCCTTCTAAATCAGTTGTGGATTATTTCCAAAGTTACCTGCGTTACGCGTATAAGATAGCCTTTACCGAGGCCTATAAAAATGGAGAAGTCAGTGGATTTCTTAAGGCATAGTATTCCTAGACCGTTTCGAGTGCTTGACTACTCCAAACATTGATGAAAAAACCGTATCCCATAAACTGCTAATGACTGTTTGACAAATAAAAATTGCATCTGACTTTTGCGGACGAATGCCCCAATCATTCCTGTACTGCTGGCGTGGATGAATTAATCCGAGAGACTGTTCTGCAGTTATAATACGGTCTAAACTATGTGGAAGGAAGCATAGGAAATATTCTGGACGTCGTAGTGTTTACCAATGGCAACTACGGATACGTTGGCAAACAAGACTTACAGAGTTAGTAATGTCTTAAAGTAGCGCAACTCTCCCACTGTTTATTTCTGCTCAGCATGTTTTAATAAGAAACCACAGAAACACTATTTGGGTTGTACATTCCTAGGAAACACTGGGCTACGTATGAAAGTCGCATATCAGCGGTCAAACACACGCAAACATGCCCAAACCTGTCAACGTAGTTCAACTTCCCAACGCCTACGCTTACCGAAAAGTACGTCAATAGTATATGAAACAGCCACGCCTGACAAAATACTCCCGAGCGCATTCGCCATCATCCGTTGTGAGCTCTCCTGCAAAACAAGCTCTCTAGTGCATTCTGTGACCATGGGTTCCCACTGTAGATTCACAAGAGTCGCGCATACTGTCTTATAGCATGCTCGTGTTTGTGAGGGTGGCAAGATAGCCAGTGCCTGGTGCGGTTAAGGGTTCAAGGCCCGGAAACCGAGTGAGTAGTCATCAAATCACCACCATGTTGGTACATAAATTCGGTAAGAACTACTTGTATAGCGTCCTAAACAGGACACGGGATGTGGGGCACCCTGCCTAAGTAGACAAGGCGGCCCTGCGCGTAATTACAAGGTGACTATTACCATGGCCTAACCCTAAAACTAGCCTTAACCTCAATCTAAGCTGTAGTCCTGGTCCTAACCATAACCCGACCTAACCCTTCCTTTAAATTACCATAGAGTTCACCCCAACCACAAACTTAAAGCTTGCGCTACACTTAACTCTAGTCCTATTTTCCCAGCAGTTTGGCACAAAGACACCTATATCGAGACCGATTCCTCTCCTCATATCCTGTTTACGGTCATATAATTCATTCCTAGCAAACACTATCAAAATCCTGACCCCGAAACGCCAGCTGTCTGTCCACTTTGTGCAATCACTCTAAGGGCCTGCGGAGACCGCTAATTTTAGCTTAGCCCGCTATGTGCCTGGCTTGAAAGATAAGGTATTTTTTACACCGTTGACAGCTAACGGAATTCGGTATTTCATGTTCAGCACAACTTCAGCAGATCTGGGTAGTGCATAAGCTAAGTAGGAAGCCTTCTTCATCTCCAATAATAATAAGGAGGGGAAACAATCCGTGGCGCATTGGGTTACGATGTTGGACTTTTAATCAATGGGTCACGGGTTCTAGCTTAGGGTGGTGCACCACCCGGGGTGGGTATGGCTGGCCGAGGACGCCTGAGCCAAAAATATACATTCCAGTCTCCCTTCTCGCTGTCGGCAATGTTCATCTGCCTATGATATTATTTGGTGTGCGGCAACTGGCGGGGCACGAGAGTGAGCCCCAAGGCAGAACCGGACGAGTTCCGTAAACGATCGGGGAGAGTTCACTAACGGATATACAGGGTCCTTTCGACAGTCAGTCCCCAGGTTCACTTACTACCAACTAACCAAAAGCGACTTCAAATATGACTTGCGCACCTATAAATACGGCAACACCGTCTGCATCTTTATTGCCTGCATCTGATGCTGTCTCTGAGGATGTGTTCGAGTATGAATCCGAAACGTCAAGCGAATACCGTGCGTGTTCCAGCGCTTGCGTCTAATTATTCTCGATTTGTCCATCTATTGGCGCAGAGTTTGGCCTAACTGACGGACGTAATTTGGCTTGGCCAGCGTTCCCGGATTATGTACATACTATTAGTCATCTTCGTACCAGGGAGGGAATTGTCGAAGTTTATGGCGGTTAGGATGCACACTTTACTTCGGCTTTCAGGAGAACATCAATCAGTAAAATAAGATACTTCTCTATTCGGTGGGGATGCATCATAGGGCTGCTCAGTGGCAAAAGCCTCTCAACCCAAATGTCCTACGGAATTCGTGGTTAAAGAGTTAATGCGGGATAAGTACACAGTAGGAAATAAACGAAAACCACTGGTAATTGTTTTACTGAACTAAAATGTAGGTGAAAAAGTTGTGAAAAGAACAAAACGACCAGAAAACTGTAGGAGCAAGGCCCATTGGTTGGCAAAGGGAGCCTGTAGACCAAGGAAACTATTAGAGCAACTCCTATTACTATTAGGCGCCCCCATGACGAATCCCTAACCTCTATTCAAGCGTCAGTAGAATCGGTGGAGGTAACCAGGAAAGCCAACTCTAGTTGAAACATGAAGCGGAAGATAACTGCACGAAAATGATTTTTGGCTGTCCCCAGAGTATTTATATTTTAAGCATTGAGGGAATATTTGGAAACTTTAAGATGAAACTTATTCTCGGTAAAATTTCATCTTCAAAATCATCAAAACGTCAGCGTAAAAGCTACGCTAGAAGGTAAAAGTTTGATTGATCAGGCACAAGAAAATATACATTGGGATTCAAAGTATAGGCGGAATGCAGTCTTAGAGTAGCTTCCCAGAGATCAGTGGATAAAAGTCATAAGATAGAAAGTTAGCCGCCCGACTAGGAGGTAATATTAATGATTCGATGGGGAGAAGGGAGGAGAAAGAACACGCTCCCGCAGGTTGATGCCGATTGCCTTTACTTGGAATCCAATAGCTTGCAGCTCCGCGTGGTCAACAATCAACCGACCATCAAAAAGGAAGGCCGGCTTTTGCATTCGGTTGTAGAGTTCACGGTAATCTAGGGTCTGGAGGGAGGAGAAAAATGTGGGGTTGAAAACGATGTCTGAGGAATAATGACACGGCTAACAGGAGGGCAAATTTTAGTGACTCACCTTGAACTCGTCCCACTCTGTACAGATTACGATGGCATGAGCAGCCTCCGCAGCCTCTGCGGCTGAGTTGCAGACGGTCACGTTGGAGGCAACTGAAGAGGAAAAATAAAGTCGGTCACAGTTCAAACTTCCGGGCTATTCGCTGTAGTTTTGAAAATGGTTGTGTGGAGGCGCAATACTGTTTGCTATGAGCCGTGGAGTAACTGGCTAACCTCACACAATTTTAAGGAAATTCTAAAAGACGTTTTTGATTTTAAATAATTGCTAAAATAGAATTTTCCTACTGATTATCGTGCAGTCATATCAAGAGGTGATCTCTTAACGGCACTCTCACTAATATGAATTTCGAGGCACCCTTATGAAAGCCCGATACATGCAAGGGAGAAAAGGTTTATGTTGACACAGGCAGGCTGACTTCCTCGGCCACTGCGTCCGAGCCCACCGTCGAGGGCCCTGACTGTGTCTTGTCAATGAGCCTAGATGAGGGAGAAAGGAGAGTGTGGCAGGCGCTGTGAAAGCCTACCTAACTATAAACTAATTCGCACGCAAGTCACTGCCGCTGAACCAACTACGTGCGGTAACACAAGAAGGTTGAACTTGTATGAATATTAGCCGGACCAAACGCTAGCAACGTTTGGGGG